TAGTTTGGCAGAAATAAAATCAATTAAATTTTCACATTTAATAGTTAAATCTTGATTGTCAGTTATAACTGTTAAATAATAGTTTACCACGTTATATGGGATTCTTAGTATACAGTATATGTATATATAACCTTGATTATTAATTGTATCATAAATTTTATATAGAATTTGCAAAAAACAATTTATTTAAAATAATGTTATTTCACTGTGAAAATAAGTAAAAGTGGTTAATGTAGCTAACCCGAAGTCGTTTTAGAAGTAAAATGAGTTACTTGCACTCCATATTGTATGTTTTATCATAATCTATCAATAAATTAATGTTGCCCATTTAGGCATATTCTGACAATGTTCTTTGTCAATTTCCGATTTTATGAACTAACCAAGTTTTATGAACTATTTTGCCTGAACGGCCGAGTTCACAAAACCTGGTTGTCAAGTTATATGAAAATTCAAATTAATTTACACAGGTTTTATGTTGAAATGTAAACATACTGTATATTGTATCTAAAACTATTTAAAAAAAGCATGTCACTCAAAATTTAGTTTTTATTTAAGGCTAACTTTATAATTCATGATAATGTATCAATGTAAATGATATTTTATAGGCAACGTATAAAAGCAGTTGGCATATGAAAATTACTCACATTATTATTTTACTAGTTATACAAACTATTAACTAATTTTCATTAAGAAAAATGAATACTTTTCGAGTCGTACTGTTGGTGCCAATAGTTTTGGCACTGTGTGACCAGGGTATGATGGAACCCTGGGACCCACAACCACAAGATGTCGCGGGTTGGCCTCAAAGGCACGAGGCTTTGGTGAACCAAACTCTTCAGCATAAGACCGAAGAGCAGATTGTGTTTGTCGGCGATTCAATCACCGAGGGCTGGGGTGACGATGGAAAGGCTGTTTGGGACAAATACTATACCCCTCGACACGCTTTCAATTACGCCATCCGTGGCGATCAGACTCAAAACGTGATCTACAGAATTCAAAATCACGAATTTGATGGACTCGGCCCCAAAGTCACTATTCTCATGATTGGTTTGTAAACATATCTGGTCTTAGAAAGCAAATATAGGATATGAATTGATTTATTTTTCATTGCTTTCGAGTAAAGTATAAAGTTTAATATAAGTAGCATACATTGTATATGCAAGGTTCTACCCCAAAAGGCCTAAAACCGAAAAGGCCTAAACTCTAATAACTAATTGACCAGTGGAAATATTTTTAATTAAATTCGTGGAATAGACGTGTCTTAACCTAACCTAACCATACATGACCAAAATTAAGTCAAATGATCATTGGTCAGTTAGTTATTCAAGTTTAGGCCTTTTCGGTTTTAGGCCTTTTGGGTGAGTCCCATATTGAATGATAAGTATTTATTCAAATATAAAAATAGTCAGACTTATTTATGTAAAATGCATGCAACTTATATTAAACTTTATTAAGTTTTATACTTTACTCGAAAGCAATGAAAAATATTTAAATTCATATCCTATAGATAATCCTGAATTTGCTTTCCAAGATCAGGTATATAATCTAAGTGTAAAATATGAACTATTTATAAATAAATTACAAAATGAAAGGCACTAACAATGCCGGCGCCAATACGGTTGAGGACATCGCGCATGGAGTTAACGAAACGGTGAAGCAATTGTTGGGCAAAATGCCAAACACTAAGATTATTCTGTTGGGAATACTGCCCAGACCTGAGCCATTGGGCGCTAAAGTGAAACAAGTCAATGAATTGATCGCGAAATTGAATAACGATAAAAACGTCTTCTTCCTGGACATGTGGTCAGCCTATGAGAAGGATGGCAAACAAAACACAGATCTCTATTTGTCAGACAACATACTACATCTCAATGAGAGGGGGTTTGAGGTGTGGCAGCAGATTATGGAACCACTGCTTAAGAAGTTGGACCCAACTCTTTAAACTATAATCAAAATGTTTTTCCTTTTATTTGTATTAATGTTTAGTTTCCTGAATAAAAGTTATTAATAATCAACTCTTAAAGTATAGACGATTCACGTGATTTACTAAATCATAAAATTACTAAATTATTACTTATAAATCTAAAAAATATACTATGTTATAAATTTCTCAAATTTAGCTTAGTAGGGAACATCGAGGCACGAATCTCGATTGATTGGTTTTAATTGTTATGATTAGTTATCCATTAACACAATTAACATTTTGAATTGACTAAACTTGGCGAATCAAGTAAATTAGCCTGCTAAATTNGAGCATCTCAAAGATTGCATTTTACCATTGATTACTGCCATTGAAAAAGATTTTGAATTTATTATTTGTTGCAGTAATTGTCTATGGCAATAATCAATGGTAAAATGATCAGTAGGTAAATATAGCTGATGACCACTTTAAAATGTTCCCCTTGACCTAACCTAACCTTACCTATCGTTACAATGGTCAAAAGTCTATTGGTCATTAAGTTATTTAAGTTTAGGTCAATTGGTTTTTAGGTCAATTTGCCAGTTCCCGTTTGTAAAACTTAATATACAGTCTAATTTCTTTTAAATCACTTAAATACCTGATAGTGTACTAAATTTAATGTCATTATTCTATCGCGATTAAATCATCTATTATAATGATAACAAAAAATGTTTAAATTAAACAATATTTTTATTTTACATTCAATTAGTTTAATTAAATTATCTAAATTTTTGAATTATATTTTCGTAGAATTTTATTTATAAACATCAAAAATAATTTTATAGATAATTACGATTTTCATCTATAAATACAGTTCACCATCAGGTTTTGTGAACACCAAGTTTTATGAAAAATCGGGAATTGTGAACTAATTGTCAAAACCAATAACCACTTATATAGGAGCTAACGTTAAATTATACCCACTTTTGTGAACTCAGGTTTTATGAAATACCCTTTTTTATGAACCAAAGTAGACAACCGTTTATATACAAATCAATAGAAAATTAACTCAGGTTTTATGAACTAAAAATTTAACTGAAAATTTAACTTCAAAATTATTAACACTATTTTTATTTCTACTCTATATATATTTTTGATACATTCTCTTAATATTTAAGCAAAATTCTATTAATACAATATAATGGACTAAAAAGAACAATGTTAATATAACATAGTAAGTTGCCCAACTTGGCAACCATAATTTTATGATTCTTATGTAAAGTACTTTCAATGATAAAATTAAATATCTCATTTATATTGTTATCAGATCA